ACAGCGTGGCCGAGCTGCTGGCCGAGCTGGGCAGCGCGGCGCACGCAGAGGCGGCGCCGGCCGAGCCGGCCGCCAGCCTGACGCGCTGGCTCGTGCTGGCCGTGGCCGCCGTCTCCTGCCTCTTCCTCGCCTTCCTGCTGCTGCTGCTGGCGCTGCGCCTCAGGCGCTGGCGCCGCTCGCAGCAGCAGCTGCTGGCCACGGCCGGCGCCGCCTTGCGCGGCGTGCCTGCCACGCACTTCGTGGGCATCGACGGCGTCCGCGCCTTCCTGCACTCCTACTCGCACGACGTGTCTCTCACGGCCGACTCGCGCAAGAGCCACCTGCGCTTCTCGGCCGCCAGCTGCTGCGACACTCTTCCCGTCCGACCAACAGCTTCTGATCATCCGGCTTCAGGTGATCCTGTCACTTCAGATGAAGTTGAGGAGAGCGTTGGGCAAGCATCCTCTCAGGTACGTTATTTTTTTAACTTTATTTTGTTTTTACTATTCTTAGCGTAGCCACAGGCATTTCACAGTGCACAATGGAGCCCCCGGTGGTCTAGGGGAAAAGACACTGCACTTGTCACTGCAGAGACCCGGGTTCGATTCCCGGTCGGGGCCCCTCCCCGGGCAGATGGAGCTCGTTAGCCTTGTGAGGCAATCCATCTACGTCCTGAGGACCTCGCTGCCACCGTCCAAGCGTGCTTGGCCCCGGCAGATGAACCTCAGGATTAAAGGGTGGGCTCAGTTCCGCGCACACTGTGTCTCACCTAAAAAATCCAAGGCGCAGGCTGGAAGGTATAAAGACCTTCCCCGGTTCTTCGTTCGCGAAGACTGGCCATTACCTTACCTTACAGTGCACTGTTCACAGTCCTGGAAATCACGTTTTAAGATGGTCAGCAGCCCGTGAATGTCACCTGCTGAATGTGTGCTGAGTCGGCTGTGTGTGCTTTATGTGTCCTATTCTCTATCGCCTGCCAGAGCTCATTTTATCCAGCTTTCCTTAAGGCTGGAAGGTTCCATTGCATGTGCAGCTTCACAAGGAAAATTCATTCTTCTGGTCTTCTACTGGCACTTCTTTGATTTTTTTTAAGGACTTGCTAGTACCCAGGTCCCAGCATTTCATTGTATCAGATTCAAATTCTAGTAGAATTGGACAATCTTGTAGCTTGAAAGCCAACACCTTTGGAGTCTCAGGTTTCTTGGAAATCTGCCTTTAATAAAGGAATTAGTCAATCCCACTTAAGGCAACTCGAAGTTTTATGAAAAGGTTCGTGTTGGATCGTGCAAAATTCCCCTGACGACCCATCGATTTTTTTTTTCCTGCTGCTAAGCTAGACATTTGGACTCGATAAAAATGTACAGGTATAGTCATTGAAAAAGAGTATATTTCCTAGAACATGCATTTAAAAAATGTTTCAAAGCAAAATATGATTCATCACTATCTCCTTATAGTGTGGCTAATTTCGGAATGGGAGTTAATGTGGAAACAGCGATTTGAAAGGTACCTCAGTGTGTGTAGATGCATGAATATGTGGGTGTGGGTTGCTATGTGCGATTGTCGCCGTAAAGGAGGTAGTGAACTGGGGGCAACAGGTTTCAGCAAAGTTCCCCCGCCACCATGTAAATAACTGTATCTGCCTGTAGACCTCATATAGAGATGTTCACAGTATTGCCACCCCTTGGCTTCAGAAACGCTACAAATTCAAATCCATTTCTTGTTCTGAAAGGTTAATTTGTTACCGTGAGTTGTGCACAGGTGCAGCTGGAGGAAAAGGAATTATCCTTCACTGGTTGAACGGTCAAAGTGAGCAGGAAAACATAGTTTCTAAATATACCTCCCTGAGAAGGCTTTGACATTGGCATCTGCAGAGATGCAGTGCTGGTGTATGTGCAAGAGAAACTCCACTGAGTAGACAGAGTGAAGAGTTTTCTAATCTCTCCTTGTCTTCTGCGTGAGGGGCTGTAATGATACAGCCTTCCCTCGGGATTTGCTGTTGTTTTTTGTTTGTTTGTTTGTGGGTTTGTTTTTTTCTCTGCTGTACGAGAAGCGAGGTTTTAACTTACAGGTGAGGTACATCAGCTTTCCGTCAGGGATCCGTCTGCTTTCTTTTGATTGTTTAAGCAGCGGTAACCACCACCACCATTTCCCGGAAAGTATTCTTAAGGTTGAGACCAGCTACAGTATCGGCCATGGTTTGTGGGAGACAGGCTAAAAGAATTCAGTGTTGAGTTGTATATCACTGATACGATGATGCTGCGCTTTGAATGGAAAGAGATGGGCTCAGGTCTGATGTGACTGCTGTGGTTTTCTCAGTGGCTGGAATTCCTGGCTTTGCTAGCTTCGTGCTAGCTGTGGATCTCTCAGCTATCAGAAATAAACCCACTACCCATGAGCAGTGCCCCAGCGTTCGCTCTGTCCTGTCTTTTCTCTCATGACTGTGTGAAGATAGCAGCAGGAACACCTCGCGCCCCACTGAAGAGATGAATAAAATCACAGCAGGGGAGAGATCAAGGTCCTGCTGCACATCCTTCAAGCAACGGGGGAGGATTTGTCCTGCAGAAGACTTGCAAGTGTATGGAATTCAGACAATGGGAATTCCTAGATGCACCTTTTCAGCACAATCAGAAGTTTTCTGTTTCGCAGTACCGATTACCCATGTATTTCCCAATCCGTATTAATTGAAGGACTTGCAGAGCAGGACCTTCGAGCTGTTCTTTCTCTCGGACGTTGCGGTTCTCAAACATGGACTCAGGGTGTCACTGTTGGCCAAGGCGCAGAAGCAGCTCCGCAGTCGGCTCCTCCCCGGCGCCCGCTCATTGCTGCTCCGCTCAGCGCAGAGCGGGGAGAAAAGCAGGAACCGCTCGATTCTGCCTTGCTCCGACCAGCAACAGGGATTTCATACGTTTCTTTCTCTCGGATACCGGCTCAGCTGCTCGGAAAGCCTAAAGTCGCCCGCAGAATACTGTTCAGCAAAGCCGAGAATGAAGGTCAGACCGGCAGCCCAGGGCTGGGCGGCCGCCGGGCGGGTCGCGTTGCTGGCCGTGCTCCTGCCACTGTGCTGCCGGGCGGCACCGGAGCGGCTCCGCTACGCCATCCCCGAGGAGATGCCCAGAGGCTCGCTGGTGGGGCCGCTGGCACGGGACCTGGGGCTCAGCGCTGACGAGCTGCCGGCGCGCAAGCTGCGGATCGTCGCTAGTGACGAAAAGCAGTACTTCACTCTCGGGGAAGATAATACGAATCTTCGGGTAAATGAGAGGATAGACCGAGAGAGCATCTGCGGGGCCGTGTCGCCCTGTGTCCTCCGCTTGGAGGCATTCATGGAAAACCCTTTCGACATGTTTCATGTGAGCGTTACTATCCAGGATATCAATGACAATGCGCCGCAGTTTGACAAAGAATTTGTTACCATAGAAATGATCGAGTCGACGCCTCCTGGGACCAGGTTCCCACTTGGCAGTGGCAGAGACCCCGACATTGGGGCAAACTCATTACAAAAGTACGAACTTACCCCCAATCCACTCTTCTCACTCTTCGTGAGGGAGAGTCCTGATGGGACGAAACACGCGGAACTAGTACTGGAGAAAAACTTAGACCGAGAAAAACAGAGAAACCACAATTTGATACTGACGGCACTGGATGGTGGGGATCCAGTCCGATCCGGGACAGCCCAGATTAATATTAACGTGACCGACGCTAATGACAACCCGCCAGTATTCACCAAAGAGATCTACAAGGTTCAACTGATGGAAAACCTGCCAGAGGGCTCCTTAGCTTTTCAGGTGAAAGCTACTGACAGTGATGAAGGTACAAATGCAGAAATTACCTACTCTTTCAGTGACATCGCAAGGAGCGCTCGCCAGGTCTTCTCTCTGGACCCCAAGACAGGGGATGTGAAGGTTACAGGCCTATTAGATTATGAAGAAAGGAAATATTATGAGGCGAGTGTTGAAGGGAAGGACGGGGGAGGCCTGACTGCCCACGCCAAAGTGCACATAGACATTATAGATGTAAATGACAATGCGCCAAGTCTTTCCCTTCTGCCTATCTTGAACCCGATACCCGAAGACACAGTCCCAAGCACAGTTGTAGCTGTGATCAACGTCCGTGACAGAGATTCGGGAGAAAATGGAGAAGTGAGCTGTAACATGGACGGAAATCTGCCTTTCAGATTAGAAATGTCATCGGAGAACACCTATAAACTTATAATAGCCAGTGCCCTGGACAGAGAAGCAGTGTCCGCTTACAATATTACCATCACTGCAAGGGACCGGGGCAGGCCGGCGCTGTGGAGCGAGGCGGAGCTGGTGCTGGAGGTGTCGGACGTGAACGACAACGCGCCGGTGTTCGAGGAGGCGGCGTACAGCGCGTACGTGCGGGAGAACAACGCGGCGGGCGCGCTGGTGGTGCGCGTGAGCGCGCGGGACGCGGACGCGGGCGCCAACGGGCGCGTGA